AGTCTTTAATAAATTTAAAAATAGACTCAGACCATTTATATCTTAACAACAATTTTATCGAATCATTATCGTGTAATATATATAAAATACTATGTGCTTTCGCAAATTTCGGGATGCTGATTTAGTATCACCCTGTACTGTACATTACCGCAGAGCGAGCATGGCGTGAGCTAACGAAGTGCAAGCTGAAGGATACACAATCGGCGGCCACAAAGTTACCAAGAAACAGCATTCTCCGGTCATTCGTCGCGCTATCAGTTTCAAGAAGTCCGCCTGTTGCCTTTTGTCCTCCGTTCCTTTGTCGAACGCCATTGAATTCGTGTCACAGGTCGTCAGTAAAGAAAGCAGCCATTCAGTCGCGACACGTGCGTCGCCTTTTTCCATTCGTGCCTCGTTGTAGCGACCAGTTCGGGGGCTGGTTTTTCCTTATCCGCCAGTAAACTGGACTTTCAAGATGCGATCAGGAACGGTTTTTTCCCGTTCTGTTGTCCTCTGGATTCTTTTTGCCCGAAAGTGTTACGTGATTTGACAAAGACAGTTTATCCTGCGGTCGAATCAGCGTGATCAATTTATTCTGCGGACAACGTTGAACGAAATAAATCGTTCTACGGTGGTAAACAGCTATGCATCCGACAATTGCTTGAAAAGAAGTACTTTTAAATATTGATTAAAAATTTGGAATCATTTGTACATTTTCGTGGAAATTATACTGTAACATAAATTTTATCTTTATAATGTTTTTGATAATTACTGAAATATATTACCTTTTACACGTTCTGATACATTTAGTACTAAAATATCTATTTTTCTAATTTATATACTTGATAATAGGCATATACACATTTATGCAATAAATGAACAGTTTTCTATGGTGTTAATTACAACATAATTGTTCATGAATTAGTTGAAATGATCGAACAATGTAATTTCGTGTAAAATTTAAACACTTGTGAGGCATCGAATGACATTGATGGGTGTTCTGACTCGGCCACAGGCTGTCAATATTATGTTACTTTTTTAGATAGTGAAGAGTAGATCTGATTTCACTCGGATCATCTTTACTTTGTGATCCAATATCGGTCCCTTCATTGGTTGTCTCGTCAAACATTTTTTGTTACTTTGATACATCTAAGAATCATTAACACCGTCAACTAATAAAAAGACAAAAAACACATTAAACGTAAGTGTATACGCTAATTACATAACTCTAACTTAAAAAATATTATAACTTAAAAGAATTCCTAAGCATCTCAATCTTTATTCCTCGCATCGTAAAATTTTCTTTTCATATTCACATAAAAGTTCACGTGAAAACGTTACTAGCACTAAATACAGCCATGTTATAACTTAACAAAGGAGATGCATATAGTCTTCAAGACTCCAGCTTCGAGCTCCAGCTTCCTAACGAAATAAAACCAGAAGAACGATCCATCAATCCGAAGAACATCCGCAACAACGCATTCACCATTAACTCCGACCACAAGCTACCACCGCAAAACGGGTCTGCAGCGCGCTAATGAATAACCCCACGCGACCAAAGGATCCCAGAGACAGAGAGAGAGATAGAGAGAGGACCAAGTTTCAAATTCAACTGAGAATATAATCGAATGGCAGAAACCCCAACGAGCGAACAGATCGTTAGCGGTAAGCAGCACACGAATTCTCATTGTCCAGGATCAGACCAAAAAGAACCTGGGGGAGGGTGGCAGGAGTCCGCGAAGAACGAAAGAAAGGAAAGAAATAAAGAAAGGGCCAAGGTAACTCGAGACTCTTGTGCCCAGGAGAAGCGTTTAAACCGCTGACCGTAAACAGAGAGGCCGAGAGAAAGGTCTGGGCCCCGTTGGGTCCTCGCAAGGGCGTTAATTACAGGGCTGCTTTCGTTTCTTCTTCTCCTGCGGCTGATTTCCGTTGCCGGAAACGTGACCGGAACGCGTCCGCGCGACAACGAGAAGGGGGCAAGAGGGAAAGGGAGCACAAAGTACATTACGTAGGTACACCACTCGCTGGAGCACGTCGAGTGGCGTTGGGCTGGATTAAATGGAAAGCACGGCGACACACAAAGTAATGTCGTCTCGAGAATGGCTTTTAAATTGATCGCTTTGAAACGTTTAAACCGTCAACACTTATTATTTCGATATATACTCATGTAGCGTTGAAGGTTGCCTTTTATCGATCTAACCCTTGAACGGTATCGGATCATTTGCGAGCTACTCCTTGGTATTTTCGCTTCTAAGCGGAGCTTGATTGACCCTTTAGCTTCGCAGTAACGAACGAGACGTGCGGTGAAGATTTATTCTGTAGCTCGATACAATGGGAATCGATGTTGCTCGAAGTTTTATCTTTAAAGTGAATGTATACTTGTGTTGAACTGACAATTTCATCGCGTTCTCGTGAATTATTATTAATTATTATGTATTAGATACTTCTATTAGACAGAATCTTACTTATAATGAATTCTAATGTATAAAAGTTGAGAAAATAGGGAGTTCCTTAAGCTAGAATTGTGCATTACTATAAAAGATTATAATGAAACTTTACTTCTACTGTTGCTTCTTCTTAGTAGACTTTTTAAACTTGTTTCTATCGAATTGTCTCATCGCTCCTTAATTTCAATAAATAATTGTAAGGTTAATTTAATTAATCGATAACCCATATCTTACAAATCACACAGTTAAATAACTCAATTTCACCATTCATGCATTATTATTAAACTACGAATTCTACGCATTACTGTAACTTTAAATGCATAAAATATACAAAATAAATTGCTTAAATATAACAGAGTACAATAACAGAAATACTAGTTATAAAAACAGACCAATCAACGAAAGAATAAGTTTGCCAAGGATTACTACAATCATAAATTCATAAAGCAACTATGTCCAACTCCCATCTAGCACACAGGTCATAACCAAAACTTTAAATCGCGAAGCATCGTTCGTATAGTAGAGGTACTGGTATATAACAACAGGTATCACGTTACAAGCACTCCAGTCGTAACAACTACTTCCTGTGTCCACGAAGATTCCGGGGTAGAATGAAAGTGACCGGTCGCCGTACCTGCGTGCCGGTCCGCCGCCATTGTCACCGCTTCTATCGCATTTTCGATGAAACCTCAGCATTACAAGAGCCCTGAATGGCCTTTGCCGACGACACAATGCGCGCCGGTGCCGACATTGAAATCCACCAGAGGTTCGTCGGATCACTGCTCGAATCATGCCGCACAGTGGGTCGAAATCGTCAAACACTAGGCATTTGACGAAAGAATAATTTTTGGTTAAAGAATATTTTAATTAAGTTTTGGGATTTTCAAATGAAGTTTACTGAATTGTAGGCAAAATATGATTTCATATTACCAAATTTGTTCCACAATAATAGTAGAAGTAGAAAAGTAGTATAACACTACAGAAACGAAAAATTATTTTTCTATGAAATATCTAGTATTTGATGATTTCGACCCACTAGTGTGCCTTGACCGAATTCGAACCGATCAAACAGCCAGAAGTCTGCTTTATTCGCTATTCTATGCGTTTTTCTTCCTCTTCCTGAATTAATAACGACACGTAGGGTCATCGAACGGTGTCCTTGCTCGCGAGAGATCATTGACAGGCGTGTTAATGCTCGGTGAAATTTAATTGATAGGTATCTTTGTTGAGGAAACGGACGATCATGGTAAGTCTGCGAATTATTCTCGTGTTGGATGATTATATAGTGCACGGTGCTATGAAAATTTAACTTTTACTTAAGTTTAGTTTAAAGATTCAAGTTTCATTCGATTCTTTAGAAAGGTTTTTTTTCATAAAACTTATAAGCAAATCAGGAACGTAATTATAAATACAGAATGCAAAGTATTGTGAAATATTGTATAGAATTATAAAACTTAGAAGTTTTACTTATTTACTATGTATTGTTTAAAATAGGTAATCTTTATTATAGCTGACGGAGACAACTGTTAATCTGAATGTAAAATGTAAGTTTCCATTCATATAACGAAATTTTTTGAATATAAGCAGATATATGTAAATATAATCGAAACAAAAGTTACTACAGTTTACATTAAATTTATTGAGTGTTAAATGTCCTATCTAATTCTTTTTTTAAAACGTAATATGAGTTCAATTTTAGATGCTCGCGTATTTCGTAAGTTCAGTTCAATTGTAGATTATGCGAAATATTATAATTCATATTTATATCTCTAATCCGATTGAGATAAACGGTTTCAACAGCCTCGTACATTCCTCAACAAAACTGTCATTAAGAACTTCATACAGTTACGAAATAGACTCATAAAAATCCACTGACATTATGTAATCGGCATTAAAACCGACATCGCTTTCCCATTAACCCGAGGAACAACCTCAAACATTTCATTACAACCCCGTTACCATTAGACCGCTAATGTTTATGTAAATTCCAAGATTCAAACACTAATTTATGGAAAGGAAAATTAGACATAATTATATTTCCTCTTTCCAGGTCTTTTATCGTGCTCATAACAATATTTATAACGTCAGTTAATTTTTTCCAAACCTTCATTCCATCGAATTCTGTTCTTACGAATGCAACAGCCCCACTTGCTACGTAATCACGCATTCATATAATCATATAATTGAATTTGATCACGGACGTTCAAATCATAACATGTAATTTCATCTATCGTATAATTTTAACTATCGTGTTGCGTTCCTTGAGGCATGAAAAATTTGCATGACAGAAGATTAATTAGTTCGCAGCCTGGCGTGTGCGCGCGTACAGGGCGAGAAACGATTTCAGCCGTGCGTTCAGTAACGTTCAAGCAATTAAAAATGAAAAACGAGCCCGGAAGGTGCCATTTTTTTCACAGCGCCGTGGAATCCCGTGACGAGCACAATTATTTCTACAATGTGGTCTCGGTTTACGCAAATCGCCATTCCCGTTTGAAACAAGATACAATAATTAATGTCCACCCCGGGTGTCCACCGCCACCCGGCGAGAACCTAACGTTTCCTGTTGTGTTTCAGATACGTCCTACGAGAAGGCTTGTCGAAGGGGTAGCGCGCCGGCCACCCCTGTCCTCGGAGCACGACCTTTGGACGTCACCCCCAACAGAATCGTCGTAAGTAAAATTTTCAATTGGTACCCTTTCGATCCCTGTAATTTCCATTCACTGTAATTTTCGATCTTTTACAATGGTCAATGGATTCATCCGGTCGAACTGTTCGGCCCAATAGAACCGACCCGTTGTACCAGAATGGTAAAAATGTATTTTCTTTGGGAGCCCGACTGGACAGCGAATTTGTATGCTAATTCATATTCTTATTGATCGCCGCTTTATAATCGGCGTTACAACTGGCACTGCTTTATTGGTATCTGTTTCTTTTTTTCTCTCTTTAAAGCACAAAAACGTGTTGAAGATTGGATTACGATTCTGAAAATTTGTTGTGAAACGTGAGATGGTTGTCTGTTGAGATTTGTAACTACTAAATGTGAAATACTTTTTTGCGATGAGCAGCGAATAAGACATTAATATGCTGACGTGGATAAAATGGAGAGTGGGAATATTATTCTACGTTTTAGAAATAGGAATAAGGAAATTTTATTTTCTGAGAAACTGAGAAATATACTAATAAGAGAATTTTAATGACTTTAAAATTCTGCACTATTAAAATTTGTTTTATATAATAGAATTGAATATGATCGCGGAGTTCTAAACCGTAATATGTAGAAAGGTAAATTTATATAAGCATCTAAAAACGGACGGATCTTAAATAATTATTTTGCACAGACAAATTTATTTACCAGCAACCGTCGGCTGGCAAGAATGTTCCGGGCCGTGTAAAAATCGTTAATCGGCGAAATGTCCCGGGATAATTATTTTATCGTGAAGGGGAACGCCGTGCCGGGCAGGTTCGAGCTCGCAATTAACGCTTAGGCTCCTATTTCGGGACGCTGAAGAAGATCCTCAGTATGCTGTCTCGTCGTAGATCCTTATCGCGAGAAATACTTTCGGTGAATCTGTCAGCGCTGCGCCGAAGTGCATTAGACTTGCAGATTAGATCTGACTCTCGGGGTTCGAGCCGCGACGATGAAGCGGCCCGGCCCTCTCTGCCTTTGGAATTTATCGTTCACTACTTCCGTGTGTAACGTCTCGACATACGGAACTGCTTCCGTTTTCTGAATTCGTAATTATCGACGCGCAACTTTACAAACCGCGAGGAATATCTTGCGGAAGATCTGGATAGGATGGCGTTGAAAATATTTTAAAATCTCTAGTTTACTATTTTATTACGTAATACATCAATTTGATAAAATTGAAATATTTTATGCGATTGATTCTGTCATTATATATTTTGTAATTGACATTTAGTCAGTTTTGTTAGATAAAGCTTTCACTCGTGCAATATTTTTTTATTCTAATCTTTTATTTGAAATGTGAAGACTCGAAATTTTATTTTTAATTTTGGAAGATAATTAAAATGATTTACTTTATAAGAAAAATTATTGCAATTGCATAGGATTACAATTTAAATATCACTTGAAGTTGCTAACGGTTCTGTAGACATATTGAATTGGAATTTCTTTCGCTGAAGGTTTTATTTCATTATTCATATATTTATTTATTTATTTATTCATATATTTATTTATTTATTTATTTGTTTGTTTGTTTGTTTGTTTACTTGGGTTTATTTTAATATATTATTGTGTAATAATATATTTACATATTGTCTCAACGGAAAGATTAGATTGGCTACATTAAAATGAATATTATTTAAATTTTCAATCGCTTATCTTTCTAAAAAATAATATCGCATACTTATATTTTTTCAAATATCCGTTACAGTTCTTATTACTGTTGTAGGAATAAATAATGAGATAAAGATATATATTTAAATAATTACAAATTAAACACACTACATAAGAGAACCTCAACACCTCGAGGGTTTGCGTAAAACGTTAACTTAACCAGGTCACCACCCGGAATCACGAGATGCATTTGTTTTAAAACAGACGACGTAAAAGACGCGAATGTAAATTCCCATATCATTCCTCAATATTAAACTGCCAAAAAACTCAATTAATCTAAGGTACATGTATTCATTCATTTCACCCTTTGAGTACACTAATACGATATACCGCTCCTTCAGTCACTTTTAGTCACGAAAAGTTTTTTTCTGATTTTATTAGTAATACAGAAAGTCTAAAATTACAAATTTTATAAATTCCAAATCAAAATTCACCAAGATATGAATTCTTGTTTATAATCATGCATCTTTGTTTAAAATTGTTTGGCATTTCTCGAATATGTATGATCGAATATTCCTTCTGCTCATTTTACATGGAATACTCGCACGTATTCCCAAAGATCCCCCCGAACTTCAAGAGATAAATCGTCGTAGTCGATTCTTTTGTTGCAGCTTTACATCCACTGCTTCCGGTTGTAGTGCTCGGCTGCTGGCAACACGGCCGGCGCGAGCAATGCTTCGCTTTCGAGGCACGGAAAACGAAACTCCGGTTTTCCGATCACGTATCTTCGATCTCTCGAATCTCTCGGCACATTGAGTCGTCGGTGACGGGCCGCGTGCACCTTTTCCTTTTATTCAAACAACAACCACTTTAAACATCACGTCCATTGTGTTTCTCTTCTGTTCCTCGAACTCGAGGGGCGCCCGCAAGCTGTTCGAAATTTTTACAAATACGCTCGAGCACACCGGAGATTCCGTCCCTGCGATTGTTGCGGTTAGCCTTGGCACTTCGAAAAGAAGAATCGAACGGAAATTACCTTATACACGATGTTTTTTGGATTTATTGTTTCGTAAAATTGATGCAACAGAAATTATATAGAAATGATGTTATTGTACTAGTTTTGTCTATTTGCAAAAATGCTTAATTCTGAAAAACAAAAATTTATACAGAAATATCGTTGTATAGTAAACCTTGGATAACATTATGTTCATGAAGTACTAATTAACTTCACTACTTTGGTAGTGAAATTTGAAAAATATAAAGTTAAGCGCTCTAGTCTGTATAATTTTCTTTTATTTGATTTTCGACTACTGTGTGCCGTTCGTTTAATTAAAAACAATCAACTTGGTAGATTGATTCGTTTTTTTTTATTTTCATTATTTTCTCGGAACTATATATTCACGTGACGCCTAGAGGCAATTCCATCCCCAATCTCTCCCCAGGGGAAACTCCTCTTCACGGGGATGTCACCTTTGCCCTTCGCTTCGATTTTGTTGCATAAAGCGACACGTTGCCCCCACACTGGACGTAAAAGTAGACTGACGTTGCTGTGCATGGAAAATATCGATCCAGTGTCTGCAGGTGTTCTCAAATCTCACACGCCAGATTGCTTTCCAGACCGCGACTGCAGGCTGCAGGTGTTCCGAGAGCAGATTTCTTGTGTTCGATACGTATCGATAAGTATTCCTTGTCTTCAGAACTTTTTTCACTTTGCAGTTTAAAGTTTCAAACGAATTTGTTGTACTCTTGGAGAACTTTGATAAATAAGATTAGTGTTTTTCCCTGGGTGATCATTCAATATCGGATGTTCATGCAAATTTACATTGGGTTCCATGAATTGTTATTGATTGATTCAAGTAGACAAGGGGTCACTATTTATTCTAAAAAAAGATTAGAAATATTGACAATTTTAACAGTGTTCGGAGATATTCTCCAATACCATACATCTTTATCTAAAAAAATTCATTAAGTTCATATGTAATATTATTTTTGTGGTTATCTGACTTATGTTTATTATGTATACCTTGTCATTATTCATTTCGAATAGTATTCATTTATAATACATTGTCTATTGTACTTAATTTAGTGACGTTCTCTAGCATCCCACATTTTTTTAGAACGAAAATTAAACCGTTCATCCTTGACCTTGAGGTAAATAAAATTCTCTATACATAATTACATTTATCCGGTTCAAATCGTACAGTATACGTCACCAAAACTGTAGGATAATTTCTCTGTAGAAGAGAACGCCTTGAAAGCATATAAGAAAAGAAAATTGAATCTGTAATGCAATCCGAGAGTGGAAAGAAAATACAACAAAGCGACTGGATTGTTTAGCACATGGAAACACGAAGGACATAATGTTTTCATTTTATTTTCACCATAATAAACCTTTCGCTTGGCAAAATGGATTTTTCTTGGGTTCCAGTTTCTGCGAGATAATTTACGACTACGGGGACGCGTATAAACATTCGCGGCCCAGTAATAACAGGTTCACCAAGGTGGTAAATAAATAAACGTAACTGTGGAACATTGAAAAAAAAAGATGTTATTCCGCCGATACCATCGAATTACAACAGCCGAAAGCGAAATTTATAATACTTCTTTCACGGTTTCCTTATTTCTTTGCCGGAGCGAAAAACATTTTAAATATCTCGTAATCCTATCCAGTTACAGGGGCGCTCCGTGAAATCTGCTCGAACACGGGATTCTCGTAAACTTGCCCCGCGACACAATTTAAAATCCGACTCGCCTTAAATCCGAACGGGACCGTCGTAAATTAATACAAGAAGAGCACAAATTCGCCGTATGATCATCGGAAAATTTCATTCAACGTTTACTGTAACTAAAGAACCCCGATTGCGTTTAACAATTTACAGCGAAACGGGTTGCCAACCGTCACATATAGGGTGAACAATTTAAATCGGTACCTTTGAAACCATTCGTGATTCCGAGAAACGATTCTAATGGAAATTGATTGTTCTTAATGGAAACGTAATACGATACGTGCACTTTTCTTTAATGCAATTATTCATTTTTATCTGTCGTTCGTTTTACTTGTTCAGGTTGGGAGATATTGCAATTTTAAAATTATCGAAGTGGATAGTATTAATATAATAAAGTTGACATTATAAG